CGGACTAGATGATCTGCTCAGGTCCCTTCCGACCCTAGAAACTATGAAACTATAGGAAGAAGGCAATCTTTTCAGTTGTTTTTGTTTTCTTGTTGTTGTCTTGTTTTTAAGTTTGTTGTTTGTTTGTTTTTAATTGTAAGCAGCCCCGAATCTTTTCTAGGATGTGTGGCACATAAATCAAATTGGATAAATAACCTACCCAATGCTTTACAAGCTTCTAGCTATGATTGTTCATTGCCTTCTTGTCTTGCCTCCCAGTTCCTGAATGTCTGTCTTGTCTCTAGTTCCTGGCTTTGGTCCCAGTTCCTGCTTGCTTGCCAGTCTCTCTCCTCTTCGCTACTCACCCTGCTGACCTCTGCCTAGATTCTGTCTCCGACGTGTGCACTAGGCAGTATCCATATCACATTTTCCTTGCACACTGCCTTCTGATAAGCTAGCTCAGAAGTTATCCATGTGTTCTCACCATCATTAAGCAGATCAATCCATTCACTTTAAAACTGGGTTTACCACAGCATATGAAAATACACTCAGTGTTCTGTATGTCCCTTTCAGAGCCCTATGACACCAACTAACGTCTTGGCCATTTGATGCTACTGCCATCCTGCCTGTTATCCATGACCATGAGGAATTCCAGGTGCAAGAAGTCCTGGACACTAAGGGCTTACCTATAACATGGCAGCAGCATATCCTAGAATGGGGAGAAACTGGGGTGTAACAGGAAGCCAGAAGGCTCCTGTTTCTTTAGGAGGAAAGAGAGCCAGGCTGAGCTGAATTAGGCAGGACTGGCAGCTAAGAAACAAGCTATCTACTAATGAAATGTCTGCTGGCAGCTATCCCAGGGTGCAAGGCACAGGGACACGACAACTATGGGAAGGTAACTGACCCTGGGCAGAGCAATTTAAGGCAACACGGGCAGGAAGGGAGTCAGTCTAGAAACAAGGGGCTGCAGACCTCAGCTCTAGCAGGGACCTCAGCTCTAGCAGGGAAAGCAAGCATGTAATCAGGCAGAGGAAGGAAAACTCCTGTGAGTACCTACAGAATCACACGACTGTATGGGGTGGGGCTTGCAAGACTCTTAAAGCCTGTGCCTGAGAGCAAGCAGGCAGTCTAACCCAGTAAGCTCCAGGGTTAAGAGCTCCTGCCCTGGAAAGCTGAAGGGGGAGACTTTGCTGATCCCTGGAATGCCTGACAATGCCAGTAAGATACTAAATGTTTGCTGCAGTGGGGGAAGGACCCAAGGCAAGGGGAAGCTGAGCAAACAGAGGGTTGGCTGGGAGTTTTGTTTGAGCTAGCTGGCTTATGTTTGAGTTGAACCAGTGGTTTGAGTGGGATTGTGAGGGGTGGTTTTGGAAGTCCCACTAGTGCCTAAGAGGAGTCAGGCTCAAGACACAGCTAGAGGCCTGGGATCAAGATCAGAGCCCAGAGAAGGGCAGAGCTTGGGGCCTGGGGCCTAGCACTTGAGAAGGCGGAGCTTGGGGTTAGGGGGCCCAGAGCTCAGAGAAGGGCAGAAAGTGCTCAGAGCAGGGTAGAGGCAGGGTCAGGGGGCTCAGAATCAAGGTAATCAAGAGCTGGGCTAGAAGGCCCAGATAGAGAAAAGGGGTGGAGGCTGAGAAAGCCAAGGGCCCAACAAGGGAATGGTGGGACAGTGACATCTGTGAGGCATTGGCATGGTGTAAAGGGTAATTGGAGCCATGTAATTAACCCTTCAGGCTACAGGTGCCCTGGAGCATGGACAGTCCAAGGAGGCCCATCTTGCTTGAGGATGGTATTTGGAGGCTAGCAGGTTTCAGAAGGGGATCTGCTGGCAGACTGTGGAGTCTTGCTTTAGGACTGTTAGGCAGCTACCCTTTTAAAAAACCAATCAACTACATCAAGGCATGGCAGAAAAATGTTAGAGCCAGAGCTGGGCAGTTGCCATTTGGCCACCAAGGCATGTCAGGGTGCCCTAGGGTCCAATCCTGTTACATAGGGGTATGGGAAAACAAGGGGAACTAAACTATTCTTGCTCTGATTCCGAGATAGATATAGATATAGGGCCTAGTCCAAGGTAACAGAGCAAGTCCACATAAAAGTTTGAACTATCATTCAGGTGTCTAGATTTTCAATCCGCTATACTATCCATTGGACCTCTGACCTGGAAGAATGTGCCTAGTAAGTTAACAGAGCAAGAATTTCTCATGCTTTTAAATCTACTATAGTTTTGAGTATTGCAACATTTATTCAAAGTTTACAAGCTTTAGACCTAAGTTAAAGCAAGAGGTTAAAACAAAAAGTGAAAAAAAATGTTGAGTTTTTTGGATCTCCCCAAAATTTTTCTTGTCAGTCCTAGTTATCTTGCTATTTGATCAAGTAACTGAATCTTCAAATACAAGCAGAATACATGAATAATCTTTCTCAACAAAGCTTGCAAATAGCTTGTACAGTGCAAATCTTTGAGTTTTCAGGAGTAAAATTTGATGTAATTTCTAAATTTTATTGGTTTGTTTATAGCATTGATTTTTCACATATAAAATATATATATATCTTTTAAAGCCTGGGGAAGATTATTATTTAATCTGAGTGCAGGGAAGAACAACATTTTTTAGTTTTTTGTCCAAAAGCTTGTATAACATCTTTCCCAACTATACAGTTGGTCCAGTAAAAGGTATCGCCAAACAAAACTTGCTTTCTGCAAAGCTGATAAATGACATTGCCTTCTATCCACAGCAGACCTTTCACTTCACTCAGAGTTCTGAAGAGAGAGAACAGTTCCAGATACTCCTTATCCCTTCCCCTGCTGGGAAAAACACTTCTCAAGGTTCCCTTCACAGATATTTTCACAAATTTATTGGTGGATTGAAAGAGTTGGGCATTTTATTGCCCAAACCTTTCTTTCTTCTTGAATTCAACAATAATCCTTATGGCTCTCTCTAAAAGGGAGATTTCCCAGTAGAAAGTGGCTTTGTGCAAAAAGCTACAGTCTTGAGTTACTTGAAGGTTTAGGTCAAACTTATTGTCACATAAGGACAAGAGATCACCCATTTTTCCTGGCTTAATTCACAAACAAAACAGGGACTCTGTGAAAAGGGCTAAAATAATACAAGAGACATTGCAGAAATGGGGAGATGCATAGTGTATACCCAGTTCTGAATGAGATGACTATCTCTAATATTTTAGGGGCATGTTTTCTGCTATTCTGGATTTACCCTGGCATAAGAGATCTAAATCTGATCTGCAGTAAATTTATCTGTTGAATGTATCACTCCCTGAGAGAGAATGGTACACAGCATTCAGGATCTGTATAATTTACTTCTGTTCATCCTCTTCCTCTTCTCTGCTTATCTTTCCTTTCATCTCTCTTTCCTTATTCCTCTCCTTTCTTTCCCTTTACCCACATCAATTTTCATTATTTCATTTTGTTTTCTCTTTCACTTGTTCTTTTATGTCCTTCTTTTTCCTACCTTTCCTCTTACCACCGTATTTACTTGAATATAAGACAACCTTTCAATAATTCGATTCTATATATGGAAAATTAATAAATTTGTCTTATCAAATAATTCAACCTTAGAACTGTAGCAAATATGCAGCTCAAACTGCTTATATTGCTCTGTACTTAAATTCTTCTTCTTCTGAATGTATTATATTCATTATAATCTATTTATGCTTCCCTGCAAATGCAATGAACTTATTCACACTACCCTTTCCCTTCTGCCTACTTTATTATCGTTTAACTCAATGCAAAAGTCAAGCTACAATGTGTAATTAGCTGCCCATAATAAAAATATCATTACCTTTGGTTATCAATCCCATGGGACCAATCCACTGATACTTTGGATCAATGATTCTCTGCATTAACAACTTTTTTGTCAAACATTTAAGAATCAAGTCTTTGGAATTAATAAGAACATAGACTGAAACTGAACCAGAAAAAAAATATAATTAGATACAAGAATATATACATTGTCATCAAAATGAATATAGAGACAAGGACTGGCCCTACTGTCTAGTGCTGAAGAAATCAGTACTTTGGCAGGTGCCGAGATGCCAGCCCCATTACATTTTGGATATGAACAAAGAGGACTTTGATTTATAATGCCAGTCTGGCACTCAATAGAGCCAAATTTCATTATTAAGAAAATAAGTAGCATAATCATCTTGTGCTAGTAAATAAGAATTTCAGGGGATGAGAATGAAACAAATCTAATTAATTAATAATAATTATGAAGTGTTAGAACAGTTACAAATGTTTGTCAAGGTAAAGTTAGCTTACCAGTTGACCCTTCTAGTCCAAGTACTTCAACAGATGTTTTTGGAGTATCTGGAATAGATGCAACATCCCCAGTTTCAGAGAAGGCCTGATCATCATGCATTCGTTGTGAATTTTCTTGCAGCAAATGTGCAACTCCCTCCTCCCCATGTGGAGTCTTATCAGAAAAGTGAGGCCTTTTTGCTAGATCAGTATAAAAGAAATGCATGTGTTTCAAAACAGGAAATATATTATTTAAATAACAGTTTAATCAATTAAAAATAATTAAAAGCAGTTCTACTCTAAAATACTGAATGGTCTGTTACAGGGGTTTTCATCCTTTTTTTTTTAACAAGTGTACCCCTTTTCTCTCAAAGTTCCAGGTCATGTACACCACCTTTATTTTTTTTTTCTTGTTTTTAAGGGGGCAAATCGAGGCCCCTGCAGTGAGGGAGGGAGTGGGGTTGGAGCTGTACAGCCGGATCACAGCATGGGATGGAGCTGCAAGCAGCTCATCTGGGGGGTGTGGGGAGGAGGGGTGGCAGCTTCTGCCGGTGCACACACCCCAGGAGAGCTGTGTGCCCATGGATCTACGCATAAGGCGAGGGTGGGCTGGCCCAGTGGTGGGGCAGGGAGTAGGGCATGGGCAGGGCACAGGACTGAGCCATGCGGGGGGGGGCAACTCCTGCAGCTCTGCATACCCCTGGGAGGGCAAGGGGACATGCGCCCTCAGATCTGCACAGGGGAAGGCGGACTGCAGCTGCGGGCTGGGGCCAGTGCCAGGCTGTTCCTGGCAGGGGCTGGGCCGGGTTGTGCTGGGGGTGGGTGGTGGCAGCACTGAGAAGAGACTATCGGGGGGGCTATAACAAACTTTTGGGTGGCTACAGCCTCTCCTGTAGCCCCTCCCAGCGCTGCCACTGCCTGCTGAGAGCACAGCATAGTCTCAGTCCCAGTCCCAGCCCGCAGAGGCATCCTGCCCTGCCCCACGCAGATCTGGGGGCACACACCCCCTATGCCCTCTTGGGGTGCTCACAGAGGTGGAAGCTGCTCCCCACACAGCTCAGTCCTGCACCTACCCTGGCTGGGCAGCCCCTGCCCCAGTCCCACCACCAAGCCTCAATTCGCCCCCACCTCAGCCCCTTCCCTCACAACACACCAGCTGGACCTGGCTACTCTCCTGGCCTTCTGTGTGCTGCATTGCATCTGTGTGCATGTATGCAGTATATATCAGCCACATTAGTTCTGCGTACCCCCTAGGACCTTGTTAAGTACCCCTAGGAGTATGCATACCCCCGGTTGACAACCTCTGGTCTATTACATTGAAGTAGTATAACTTTATTTTTATACTGTATCTTATATTCAATTTTTTCCTTTACTATAAAACTAAAACTCAATTCAGTCTAAAGCTGGAAGCCAGAAGGAAGAATGGCAGCATAGTAAGATGGATCAGTCAGGGGTGTATTTTTGCAAAATGAACGTAACAAATTACAGAAAGAAGTGTGTGGCGGCGCATGTTTGGGTGCGTGCCGCTTTAAGGGCCTGAGCAGGCTGTAAGGCAGCCTGCAGATGACTGCAGAGCCAATCAGGTGGTCACATGACAACCAGGAGGCCACCTGATTGGAGCAGGGCTGAGCAACTGCAGTATAAGAGCAGGCACTGAGAAACAGAGCCAGAAATTGCTGCAGGGTTGCTGCTGATTTAATACCACCCAACTCGAGATCTGCTGCTCCCAGAACATCTGGAAGTCGGGGTAGGAACTATGGGCATGGAGGAGGTTCCTTAGGACCCAGCGGGTCTCAAGACCTGAGGAAAAGGCTGTGGGCCCAAGGAGAGGGAGGCCAGCCTAGGAAGGGGCTTACAGTGTGTGGGCCTACTGAGGGGCTAGGCAAGCCCCTGATTAGAACTGGCTGGAACTGAGGCCAGGGGCTCAGATGAGCCCAGTAGAGTAAAGGGCTGCCAGGCATAAGATTTCTGGGGCTCTGGGCAAGCTAGATGGGAGTTGATGGCTTTATGGTGGAGCCCAAGGGGGGACCCCTGCTGAGTAGGGAGATCAGCTGCTCCTCAGACTCTCAACTGGTCAATGCAAGGGGGCCAGGGCCAATAGGGCAAGGGGCAGGCCAGGGCTGTGGTGAGCTACTGGCACCCTGACTGACCTAGAAGTGGGGCCAGAGCCCAAAAAAGGCTGAAGGTCCCCTCAATGGGGGAGACATCACTACTGGAAGAGGGTAGGGGTCAGCCACCATGCAGACTGTTGATGAAGGAGGCTGCAGCTCAGCCTCTTAATGGGAGGCATCCTATAAGAGGGTCTGAGAGAGATAGGTCAGTGACTGGGTGCAGGCTATGAGATGGAGGCTGCAATAGAGTGCCGAGGAAGGACATCTAGGAGCCTGGAGGGGTGAAGTAAGACCAGGGCAGGTAGGCCTGCAGTTGGTCCTGGGGAATGACTTAAAACTACACCCTGCTGGGGAGGATGGAGTGCTAGGGCTGCTGGTGGCATGGCAGTCCTCAGGAAATGCCACACCAGTGCTCCCTAGTGAAAGGTGAGTATGGGGCTCTGTAAAGCCTCAGCCCCTGCTGCCTTGTGGGTGACCCTGTGGAGGGGAGAGGCCAGGGGAGCACACCCTGAGAGAAAAGCAACAGGCTTGGGCAACAACTTGGAGGCCAGGAGGGCCCAAGGCCTAAAGCCTGACAGTGAAGCTTGGGAAACAATGTGGGGCCAGAAGAAGGGATAGTGGATAGTTTGGGCTACTGTGGCCCAGCCATGGGGCTGGGGGAGTAATAGTGTAAGTGATCTTTGGATGCCATCTGTGAGGCATGGGGCATGGTAAAAGGAAGGCTGGAACCATGTATAATGCCCTTAACATCAAGGCATTAAGTGGGCAGCCTTGTGCATTTTTACATCCAGTTCCTATACATTAAGGTATAGCAAGCAAATCAGGGCAGACTGCCCCAGACAGGTGGGCAGGCTGATAGTGTTACTGGCCCCAGGATGGCCCCCGTCACAAAGTGCTACATACAAATATTTGGAAAGCTGTTTGTTACAAGTATGTGACTGAAGTTTGGCATTTATGGTGTGCATTATTTTTCAACTATAGGTGTTAGACCCCGACTCCATGCGGTGCCCAACGACTAGGGAGATGACATTCCAATTGCTCATGAGTCCTGTTACTCATTAGCCAGAGCAGGCAGGAAGCAAACACCAGCACACATTGCTCGCAACAGCTTTATTCAAAATGGAGACAGCTTCGGGAGAGCTCCCTCACAGACACCCAATCTATGAACATGGGGAGCAGCCCTGAACATTAGTTCTTTTCCACATTTATACATTTTGGTTCAGGTTCATTAACATTCACTCCACCTTCATCCCTCCTCCTGTTCCACCCATTTCTCCTCCGGTCTCAAGCTCTGCCTCAGGTTTCTATTTGCCTCATTAGCATAGAATTGCCTATGCATTTCCTTCATTTATGTGCCTCTTTGCTAAGAGTGCATGCGTAAGACCATGAACCCGGCTACTGTCAGTCAACTATCGGTTCCTTCTAGTTTTCTGCTGACTTCAGCAACCTCTCCAAGGTCTGGCTTCTGCTTTATCTCCTAACGATAGGTGGTTTGCATCCTGTTTCCTTTTGCCCAGTGATTTATTTTATCCTGCATACTGTTCCCTTTGTTAAAGAAACTACTTGCCTAAGCATCTGCAAGGTTATTTTAATGTACCATTTTGCCTTGTGGTCAGTTTTTCTCTGAGACACAGGTTAAAGCCTTGTTCCAGCTGCAGATCCAATGCTCCCTGATTAATCCGAATTATTATCACCCTAACAATAGGAAACTGAACAAAAAGATGTCTTGGGGCCTAATTTTAAAAAGGGGCATTTTAAAAGGTTTACTCTGCCAAAGCTGCTAATTCTTTTAGGAAAAAAAACCTAAACAAAATTTGACTGCCTTAAAAATGTGAATATTTAAAATATGAAGACTAAATAAATCCCTTTGCATGTGAAATGCAGGGATTTATTTATTAGACAACAATATCTCAATATAACCTCAACTGCAGAACTGCTGTCAGTTGAAATAATTGGTATATCTCTAAGCACTATACACTTTTCCAGTGACACTAAAACTCAGCTCTGCTAGTGAACAATACTGCTTTATTTAGCAGGACAGTTAATAAAAGCTTCTTAAACAGGACAGTTAATAAAAGCTCTTGATTCAAAAGAATTCAGCTTTCCTTTTTATTTGTAATAAAATTAAGTGTATGGCACTGAAAATGAAGGCAAAATATCTATTTATACGATGTGATAGTTCTTCAAGTACATAATGACAGGATTCTTTACACTTTGCCAGTTGTCTTAAGTAACAAAAATATGTCCCTTATTCAAGACAGATCCTGAAATAGATATTGGAACATATAAAAGTGCACTGCAGATGCTGAGTAACCCTTTATCTGGTT